GTCGCTTGAGCAACGCCCCCCAAGGATTGATATACTATGTTTTCTAGTGTTTTTATATCCTCAAGTCTTGAAGAATCAGGATATTCAAAAGAAAAAATTCTCGAGGTCACCATTAGTTTTTCGGGCAAAAAAGAGAAGCACGAAAAATCGTTTCATTTTTGACCGCAACTGCATGTGGTTTCCCTGGTTACACTTGTATTCAATGAATTTGTGCGCTTGAAAAAAAAGAAACGCTAAAATATAAGAATATCTACACTAGGAATATCTATTCGTTGTTCAATGGTTATACAATGCTAAAAATCGGTCTGGAATGAATTACAGCTGGAACACCATGCTTTTCAACGTTCCGCGGAGGAACCCAGATGGCCGCCGGCTCTGACGCTGCAGTTTATCCCTGGTTCCTTCAAACTAAAACTGTGTCGGCGAAAGTCTTCAATTCTTGATTTTTCCACACAGTAAGAACTGCCGGATAAAAGTGGTGTACTGGCATTTGGCGCTGCGCACCACACGCACGGTCCGGTCACCAGGTTCATGGCCGTACGCCGTCCAAGCCGTCCTGCGGTTGTCGTTACCAGACTTGGTTGTCTGAGTGGGTCAAAATACCAACCTGTAAATCAGCCGATCCGACAGGTCATTGTATTTGCCTAAAGGCCTTTCTAACCACTGCGGTCCTGAATGGAAGTGGAAAGCGTGGCGCATCTCAGAACGACATTAGCGGAATGTGTCAGCCTAACCTTGACTGTAGCCTTTCAGACTCCAGAAGTTTGTCACCCAGAATATTTCTTATCGAATTTTGCTAATTTTGTTCCTGGTAAAGATTATGCAGACCTTAAATTTCTGGCCTAACCACTCTTAACGTGCAGAACTTCTGTAAATCAATTTTTGGAGCTATACTATATACTGACGGAGAGTGTGTACTAGAACTTGCTTTATTAACTCACTATGGCAACTTCCCTTAGTGTGTGGTTACTGGAGAAAAAGCTGCATAGTTTCGCTTTACGCACGAACTAGGCCTTCAACAGGGCGCTCCTTTCCCGTAAAAATTGGTCGAATCGTGATGGTACACAAGTCGAAAGGCATTCCTGCTTCATTCTGAATGGCGATTTTCGACCTGCAGAGTCCCAACCAGTGGTCCCTAGGCGAAGCACCGGATCAGTCGATCTATCACGAGGTTTTCGCTCGAGACACGCTGTAGTGGATCTGTCTCGAAGTGACTGTTGAAGCCGAGTCGCCGTGAACCCCGAAATAAATAAAAATTAATTCAAAGATATAAGAGAACTTCAAAAGATTTTTCGTTCCAGGTACTAATCGAGCTGAAGGACGAGGGCGCTCGACCGAGCGTTCGTCTCAGCAACTGCGACACAGTCACACAGTAAGTTCAGTTCTGCTGATTAAATCACGTCTAAGCTGATTTAATGGCTGCTATGGTCCTTTATCGATCGTTCTCTAAGGGTACTACTTGTTGTTGGGTGTCCTAGACACTCAATAAAAACACGCGGTGAACTATCCCATTCAAGGTTATTCACATGAAAAATGTGATTGCACTGAGTCCCATTCAAGCGCGTGACCGAATTGAGTACTGCTCTGGTCCTCTATTTAGTCTATTCCGTTTGGTTTCAAGGAAGCTATTCTGATGGAGTAGGGGCAGATATGGTTTGAAGATGGCATCGGTGTAGGAAAAGCTGGTCGGCAATCCGAACACTAGCTCGGCTAGAATAGAATTTGACCTCCTTGCGCACTTCCTCCAGTGAGGCTTCAAAATTAGGCCCACCTCAGCCATCTCACTGCTTTGCCTAAGGTAATGTGTGATGTTTTCAACATTAGAAAAGTTTCTTGATACGTGGATTCAAAATGAGGCAAATCAAAGTTTGTCTTTTTTGTTCCCACCGTGTAAGAACGAGGATTATTGTACAAGGCGGTGGGGGAAGTCACTCCCCTCCACAATTGGAACGGAATGTATACCCTTTTCTGAACTTGAACCGAAGCACTCAACTAAATATTGAAGAGCACATTTCAATCTGTCGAAAACCTTCTAGCCTTCCAGTACCTCGACAGCACAGAGATTTTCCTATAAGAACTGCATGGTTCGAACTCAAGGAGGTTTCCAACAGAGCGTGGGCCATTACGACGTCATCTGAAACGCTGATGGAAAGCGTAGTCTAAGCTGGGCGTAGGACCAGTGAGGGACATGGTTTTGAAGGAACATTTAAGAAATGTTTTACCGAAAAACTTTCATCAACAGCGGCACCCTCCATGAGGTAGCACCATGGGCAAAGTGACTTTTCCTTCCCCTCCCCCCTGTGTAGACGGATTTTGAGGAAATAGAATTTTGGAACATGGTGCGCTCCTAGCGACCACAAGCAAAATGCAGTACCTCGTGAGAACAAGCCTAAACAGAATTCCGACGGAGTTTTATAATCCCTCATCAATCGTCATTTGTTCATTTGTCACAGATATCACCCCTAGCCCTTAATGCAAGAATGGGGGGAACTGTGGTACGGTATTGTTGCAGTCGATAATGAAATTGTGGATGCAAATTAAAGTAAAAATGAAAAAAAGAAACAACGCAAACCACCGATGAAGTCCTTCAGGGAGGACTTCCTCTCTTCAACCTTGAAATGAGGGAGGGGCGTTCCGGACGAGTTACCTAAACTTGCTTGCTCCATGACTCCATAAACCTGCGCGTAACTACAGTACCGCTATGCTGTAATCCATTTGCGTGTCATGGGTGTGAACGGGGTATTTATCTCGCCTATTAGCTCGCATGAGCCGTCATCAGCTCACTTCGTAACCTCTTCGTAAAGTCTTAGCGCCATTGTTGCGCATTTTCGAACCGCGTCAACGGCACACTGTGATACTCGTGGGCTACTCTATTCAACCTGCAGAATAGATTGTTCGTTACGACCTCATCTGCGGTTGTTGCTTTAATAATACAATTAGTTCAGGCGCGGGATCACAATTCACTCACTTGGTTTGGGCCCATGCGCACCTTCAAAAAGACATACTTTGCAGAGAAGCGGTTTCTCGTCGAGAGTCTCGCTGTCGATCTCGAAGCGATTGCAACGTCGACTTGGCAGAAGACATCAACCGTCAGACAAGTCTTAAAGGTAAGGTTCTCCTCAGTGCAGTGTAGCGTGGTCCATTTCAACGTAGCTTTCTTTCAGACGCTACATCGCCTGCAAAAAATGGTCGCTTCTCGAGAGTTGGGACGCAGATCAGTACTGGAAAGGACAGGAAAAGCGAAAAGGAAAGAAAAAAGAATGAAAGGAAACAGGAGAGTAAAGCGGCGAAGACTCTATCGGCCATTTTGGCCGCATTCATCATCACCTGGACGCCTTACAATGGTACGACCATTTTTGAGCATTTTTCACTTTCGGGTATCGATACATCCGTTTTCGTGCGCCTTGTCTTTATTGTTTAGCCTTTCCCTTTTTCTCGCATTAATCATTTTGAAGAAGAGAAGTGATTCGCACCTCTCCTTCCCTTTAGCACCTCTCCTTCTGGGGCGGAAGTTCCCAAGGGGATATTATGCAAGGCATAAGGGAAATGGGGAGGGGGTGCCGATAGGGAACTCCCCTGTCAGTTGTCCGTCCAACATAAGATATATTTACTCATATGTGGT